TACTGCCTCTGTTGAGAAAGAAAAAGTTGGTAAATACCTTGTGGAGTTTCCATGCGAGCGTTTGTACATTGAAACGTTTTCATTATTWATCGTTSTATTTTCATAYATAGTCATAAGCAGACGAAATCATGTTCAGTGTGCTGTGAAAAGAGCAATGGCTATCTTACAAGTACCGCATTTTTCAACGTCTTTTCTCAAAGAAAACAAATCATATCTTCTAGTTAAWATCAATGTWTGCACTCCAACGTTATTTCTCTTACCWATACAATCGTAAAGCTCTTTTGCAGAACGTCTTTCACCAAGGCCAAGAACTTGCCTGTAAAAATCAACAAATTATCACTCGTTTTCGCGACCAGGAAAAATAAAAAAGAARTGAACAGAAGAACATCATAGACTGCGTATAGCGGCCCGTGGGGGGTAGGGATGGGGTGATTATGTGCAGCGACGCCATTTTGTACAGCAAAGCATTATGGTTGGTGCAGTCCTCACAAAACATCTCCCTAAAAGCTTTCTTTCAAGAAACGGCTCAACTTCTTCTCTTTTTGAAAACAGCTAGACCGTTTAAGTGGACATTGTAAGTGCAAGGACTACACATCCCATCATGCTTTGTTGTTTTGCAAAATGACGTCACTGCATTCCAGCTTTCGAATGGTTGCACTTCTAAAGAAAATACATGACAATATTTTATTGATTATTTTTTTAACATATTTAATTGATGTATTCATACATAAAATAATCTAACTTACCATGTTAAAATTATAATGCATTAAAATGGAAATATATATCAGTACAAACGTTTGATACAGTTGTTATAACTTAGTGTAACCCGTCCAATAATATGAAATAGCACTAACTACAAGCTTTTATTTTACATTAACAAATCTAGAATAAAAATCTATTTATCTCTATTAATCTACTTAATTAATCTAATTTTTTTCATCGATCCATAACGCTCGTATAAAGGACTAAAGAATAATTATTTAGTTTACTCCTGGAAAATAAACATTAATTGAAGATATTGGGAATTGATTTTACACGATTGTGATTAGAGSAAAATTAGGTGAAGTTCTCCATAAATTGGATCA